CTTTCATGATCACTGATGATTTTGCCGCCTGGCTGTTCGACGATACGACTTTCGGTTTCTCTCAGGCTGGTCGGTCGACAGGTCTTGCAGCTTCCTTCCTCGATGGCGCCAATCCATTCTTCTCCGGTCTCTACTTAGGAGACCCTGCCTTCCCCCAGCAAAACTACTATGGCACTCCTTATCATCACCCAATGTCTGTCACGAGTATCATCGCCCCGCCATCACCACCACAGGAATCACTGCTATCGGAACACAAACGTCAAGAACTTATCGACGTGATCGGTGCCTATCCTGACTCTTCCATTCCGAATCACTGCACATCACACTTCTCGACTATCAAAATCCTATGCTCGGAGAACCAAGACGATGATGCCGTCCTGGGTCTAAACTCCATGCAACTGTATATATCGCTCTTCTGGCAACACTTCCACCCTCAACTGCCAATCCTACATAGACCGACTTTTGCTGCTGACAAGACAGAGAACATTCTGCTATTGGCGATCATCGCTATCGGAGCTGCTTGTGTCGATCGTACCCACTTCCCACAACTGGCGCCAGCTGCGGCCGACCTCTCCTGCGTTCTTGCGATGAATCTGCGGTGGCAGATATTCGACCACGCGGATTTCCGGCCTCCTGCAAAACTGTGGATATTCCAGGCGCTCATACTTCTGGAAACACATGAGAAGATGTACTCGACAAGGCAGCTTCACGAGAGAGCACATATCCATCATGCTACTACACTTACCCTCATGCGAAGAGGTAGCTCTCTGCAAGGTCGGTGCGCCCTGGATTCGCCTCCTAGCATCAGGGACGAGAAGATCGGCGGCAACACAACTTCTCATTCATCTGGTGCGTCGACGCCAGATGAGTGGTGGAATCACTGGATCGCAACGGAGGCTACTAAGAGGGCGGCGTTCGCGGCTTTCGTGCTGGACTCGGTTCATGCTACCATGTTCGGTCACTCAGCCGTCATGGTCGCTCACGAGATGCGGCTTGCTCTACCATGCGACGAGGCTCTCTGGACGGCAACTTCTTCCGCAGAAGTCGGTCGCCTGAAGCAAGCGTTATTCAACAACGGCGTGAAGCCCATCATGTTCTTGGAAGGCCTCAAGAGAACACTGAATGGGGGAACCGTTCGGACGAACTCTTTTGGAAGGACAATCATCATGGCTGGATTGCTGAGCGTGAGCTGGCACATGAACCAAAGAGATCTGCAGGTCAACTCCCTGGGCGTCGGCCAGACACTTGGACCAAAGGAAAAGTGGAGAGGATCTTTGACAAGAGCCTTCGATCTGTGGCTGTCAGACTTTGACAAGTCACTTCACTCCAAAATCCCAGTCGCAGAACGAGGGTCGCACGACGATGGAAACTTCTATATGCCGAGCCACGATCCGGATGTCGAGCACGACAATGTTTTCGAATCCAGGACTGTGCTGCATCATCTCGCCCATATGGCGATGCACGTGGACATCGTGGATCTACAGATATACGCCGGAGCAAAGCGCCTCCTCGGCAGATCTATCGGAGGAAACGACTCAACTCTTGCATCAAAGAGGATGAAGGACTGGGCTAACACTGCTCGGGCTCGAGACGCAGTTTACTACGCTCTGCAGTTCCTGAGACAGGTCCTCCTTCCAACCGCTCCTCTCATGCCGCACGAAGATAGCTCTAGCGCGCCGACATCCTACGTTGCTAGAGATGACTATCTCCTTAACAGGCCATGGGTCCTATATTTCGCAACACTGGTGGTCTGGGCATACGGCGTCGCTCTGGACGGCCCGCTCCAGGCGCCTATCTACGTCCCGCAGACGTCGCAAGAACGACACCGCGATATGCGAAATTATCTCATCAGAGTAGGCCACCGCAAATCGCCCGACGAGCTCTCCGAAATCACGGACCGAAACCGCAATCTCGGACTACTGCTTGTGCTGCAGAAGATGTTTGGCGAAATGCGGTGGGAACTCCTCCAGGAAGCCTCGAAGCTGCTCGGCCAGTGCATCGAGATTTCGAAGGGAATAACGCCACCTGCCAAAATCAAACTAATATAAAATTCGGCGAAGACGACGCGAATCATCGGGGACGTATATAACGAATGAAACTGATGGGGCATAAAAATTCATCTCACAATCACATTACTCTCCGACCTCCCTTCTAGTGTTTATAATTCCGGCTTCCATTTATGTCACGTCATGTTCATAGTAGTTTAATGTTTCTTTACTTAACGTTTTTCCTTTTGGGTCTCGGAGCTCTTCGGGTGGTTTTGGATTATGCGTTACAAGTTCTTTTTTCTTCTGTCCTTTACAGCTTCATGGTTTACAACTTCATCATGGGGAATTATTTTTATCTCTTCCCTCATTTTATTTTCTATATCTTTGATACAGGGTTTGAATTTCTGCGGGCTTTTCTATACAGCGGTTTATCTCGACGGAACGATATTACCCTGGGCATCACATTTTAACTTCTTATATCTACTTATTCATTCGTCTTTATTCCGTTATCAGGTCGGGTTTGTGGACTCACGATATCGTCCTCTTTCCAAGCTTCAGAGTCTGCTATTTCCTGTTTTTCGGGCATTGCCGAGATACCGCGAATGAAGTTACGGACGATTTCCTTATTGTATGGGTGAGAGTGCTAGTGGTTGCATGATATCTATCTTGATAGTTACGGCTTGGGTTGGAAGCGATATCGCGACGAGTGTGTTTTCGAAATTTCGAATCGCCGAGTTTAACGTTTTCCGACTGCATGTCATCTTTTAGTATTTTTGCTTACTTTAGTCATTTTCCTAGCTAAAAATCTACTTTCACTTGTTCATTTTTATCTAATTGGTGTTCTATAATGATAAATCACCCACCCTGTGAGTGCGGATGAAAATACTTTTCATACAGTCAATGTTAATATGTAATGACTATCCCGCCGACATCTGTCGTTTGACTTTTAATACCGTCGTTTGCATGCATGTACGAGCTTATACGTCGTGAAGGATGCATGCGATATTAATTAATATTGAACCATATTCTGCGCAAGTTTGTCATATCCAAGCTGCTATTATTCAGACCATGGATGAACGAATCGCGGAGAACCTGGGAACGAAACGAGGCGCATTTACGTACGCTGCGACGAGGCTGCATTTACGTTTTCGTTTGCCCAATTATTACGCAGTTTATTGTCAACGGGTTACACGTACGTTTGGCCGGATGTACGTGCGCGGATGCGGACGTTATAGGCGGCTGGCGTTGGTTTATAAGATTTACGTAATGCAGAGACTTGGGTAGCGGGCTTTCCGGGCGGTATGGTGGTAGTGTGACTGGGTGTCGGGTGCGATTTTCGGATCCTTCTGGGAAGGGTAGGATGATGGCTGCGGCTATAATCCGATTCAGTTGTAAGGCTGTAGGAATATCGTGAATTAGTGTATAGTGGTACTATTAGGAGTATTCACCTTGTGTACGTGTGTACTCTGATTATTGGCATGGGCACTGGATGTTCACTTAGATGTATTGTGTTGGAGTCTGTTGTAATTCTCCTATAGTAGGCATGTATGCTGGGCCATGCTTGTTCTACAAATATATGAGGTACAGGGTTGTAGCAGGAATTGGCTAGTTTGTTGCTCTTTCTTACATTTGCATAGCCTCCGCTTGTTGTGCTAGAATGTACGCAGGGCCTAAGTATGGTGCACATATCTTCGAAGCTCCATTTTGCACCGTTATACCAGCTTCAGAGTTGTCTTAGAATTTGTAAAATTTCGAGCCTTCGAATACTAGATCGTGAAAATTTAAAAGGTTCCGCGCAAGCTTATGGGAGGCTGGATAGTTTGTTCTCTAGTGCTTTGAATTTTGATATTGATATACGCTACTTATACCAACGTGCAGCCCGGCCGTCTTACGAGACCGGGCTACATCTAATGCGTGCTAAGCATACCTAGATGACTTCAACCAATCGATCGTCAACGCGTTCATGAAGCCAAATGCAATGGCGGCCAAAAGCCTACCTTCACGACTACGGGCAATCGCACCGGAATCGCCCGGTCAATTAGAACTATATCTGCTTGCTTGATATCCCGGCTCCAGCTAGTCTGTTGCTAGCGTAAAGCTTCTTTCTAGCTTGATAAGCTATTTGCCAAGGAACGTTTGGAAGGTGGATAGAGTTGGAGTGCGATTTAATTTAGGAGGCATTTTCGGCTTCGCTAAGTTGTGACTTCGTGTCTCACACGGTCGAGCTCTAAGATGAAGGCTGTAGTCGATATCTGTTCAATTAGTGCGCTCCGTCTAGCTTTTCCTTTCTGCTTCTGAACACACTCCTGGTCTCCAACTGGGTCATTTCCGTCATGGCTTAAATCGGCGGTATAGCTTGTACATATCGGACATCTCCGTTTTGAATCGAATTTACAAAATCGATGCCTAACACTAATTACACTAAGGTATTAAACTTTCGTTTACCCGAGTCATGACACGCTCGCTATCTACTCGGACACTGAACTATGTCTTTGATTTCGCGGTGCGTGAATTCAGTTGGGTCGTGATTTTTAGTCTCTGTTTGCCAGTAGGAGTAAATATGTGGCGAATGGCATCCAACCCGTGGAACTCCATTGAGCACCAGCCTCGTAAATATATGAATAGATATATACGTGAGTCTATATCTTTATCAACATCGGATATGTCTCCAAGGGTGGTAGATCTAGCCCACGGAACCTTTGAAACCGCAACATACTTTATATCACGTCTCTAATTACATCTGATTAACGCGTAAGGTAGTCCCTTGACCGATTCAAGATATCCTGATCGATATTTTTGTCTACTGGTGGGGAGTAGATAAACTAGCATAAGCATATATATAATACAGCTGATTGAGTCGGAGATATTGGGCTGTTTATTCTTTGGGCTGTATAAATGTCCTCTACAGAAGGGCGTACCTGAATACTTTGACTCTGGCGATATTTCACGAGATACCTGTTTGGGTTGTGTATGCGTTCATATATGCATGTTTTACCGTAACATTCAACAAACGGTGGTATGGCACAATGGTTAGCGCATTCGGCTGTTATATCTGGTTCTCCAGGTAAGCGACCGAAAGGTTGTAAGTTCGACCCTTACTACCACCGGGTGTTCTTTTTTCGCATTTTTTTTGGCTGTTCTTCGCCCATTCTGGCAACCAATAAATCCGCTCAACGCAGACTTAATGTCGCAGTTCAAAAGCAATGCATAGCGTCTGGTGTGCGAGTGTCTTCGAGATCGGCGTTTGGTTTACGAGACAAGTGGCGACAGGTTTTTAGTTGATTCCGCTTCAGAATGATTGTTTTCTTTTGAGACTACAGGCTTCGGAGTGCACCGGCAGGGAAGCACTAGACTATCTGGATTTCGTTTCACACAATATTTGTTTTATAACCTATCTACTGGATTCATGGATCGCGATACGAAGCGGGCTTAATCGGCGAGTTTCCTTCACTATCAACGATAGCAGGCTGGATCTCGATCTGATAACAGGGCATAAAATTAAAATATATTGGAGAAAGAATCGAAGAAAAGAAAGTCCTACTCCTTAAGCGCCAGTTATCCCAGAGACTCTTCGGAAACCCATTCAGGTTCTCCGACACATTTCCCAAAGCGTACACTCCCACCCAAATGAACGAACCCACAGCCATCAACCCAACTCCCCCTCAGTCAGTGTCTTTCATCGAAATGGCTGTGATCATGGCATATAACATGAACACAATCATAAAGATGATGATCCCGCTTGGTAACCCCTGTGGGATACCCACGTTGGAACTCATTGTCGTTGCCCGCTTTCGCATTGCTAGTTCCTCTAGCTCATCGTAGATATCCTGTTCTGACGCCATGGCTTCTCTCTTGTTGTAGTCGGAGCCGGAAACAGGGATGGGATCGTGCGAATCGTCATGATCAGGTGATCGTCTCTGGATGGGACTCGACTCGGTGAGCACGTCAAACTTTTTGACCATATCAACCATGCTTGCTGCGGGCTCGATGTCGATGTCTCGATTTGCGATGTCGGCGATCAGACTTGGATTGGAGGGAGTTGGCATCGACCCGGCATGAAGTGCCAGAGATGCAATAGTAAAAAGGAAGCAGGCGGAGAAACGCATGGTGCTGGTTTTTCTGAACGAAATGTGTATTTATATAGCTCGATGGTGATGGAATCGTAACAGAAGCTTGGAATGTCGCTTTCTTTGAGGCCCTTGAGATGCTGACGCGAGCTAGTAGAAACCGAGAATAGAAGCTCGATATACTTGACCGCAAGAGTAAAAAACAAAAATTCGAAAATAGTAAAAAGGTAGAAAAGAGCGATCAAGTCGAAGAAACGCACTAAAGGCACAGCCCAAGAATTGAAGCGAAGGAAACGAAAGGCCCGGCCTTGGTAGTGTGAATGAAAAGATGGAAAAAGGTGCCCAAAAAGACAAAAGGGACAGGCGGTTATCATATACTCTTGAGCTCTGGGACTCCTACGAGCGTGGTAGAGCTGTCTCGCTCCCCTGGCGCATAAAACATCGCCCCACGACACAGCGCTTGAATTGGTAATGACATGACGTCTCGGCTTGGGGGATTCCCGTACAGCCCCGCTGACTGGAAGCAGCAAGAATCGGCCCACGCTCAGAAGATTATATGATCATGTTCTTAAGATCGAGATTAAGAGTTTTGGGGCTGTTCTTGAATATATTAAGGGAGGTGCAGCAGCAGAGGTTGAAAGCTACCTTTCCCCCTAGTTGAAGCAAGCAAGATGCACGATCCTCAGTGTAATTCTGCAACAAAGCTCCCACCATCGGCTCCGTAGCTGCGACGGTGTGCGTTCCCAGGAGCCAGGAGCAGTAGCTTTCTCGAACAAAGATTACCGAATGCGAGGCGCCGACCCTGGACCGTGACCAGTTTTTCGTGCGCCAGTGATTTCACAAAGAAAATTCTGCATAGAATGCCAAGCGCAAGTGGGGAGGACTGAGGGTGCGGCCAAAGGCGTTTGAGCGTGGTTCATTTGACGTTTCACAGGCGCCGGCAGCAGGGTGCGATTTCCATTTTTGGACATCGACCAGGGTCAGTGGAGCAACGCATTAACCTCGCTGGCGAGCACTCGTTTCAATCCGCCCAGAAACACTCTGCCTGGCATGAGCCTCCGTTTGTTTCATGGCCAGGCCAGATCGATCGTGAGATCCGGGCTCGGCCGACCCATGTGTGAAATGTAGGCTGCTCAATTGATAATGTCATTTCGTCACGATCATCGATGCTGACCGGGTTGGGTGATCGAGGGGAATGCTAGAATTCGCTTGGATAAGATTAAGACAATCCGGATGGCCGTGTTGCAGCCAATAATTGTAGTAGTAGTAGTAGTAGTAGTAGTAGTAGTAGTAGTAGTAGTAGTAGTAGTAGTAGTAGTAGTAGTAGTAGTAGTAGTAGTAGTAGTAGTAGTAGTAGTAGTAGTAGTAGTAGTAGTAGTAGTAGTAGTAGTAGTAGTAGTAGTAGTAGTAGTAGTAGTAGTAGTAGTAGATTGCACTGCTTATTTACAAATATATGCATGCAAAGTCATCCCCTAATGCCATCTGGCGGGGAGAACGCTTGAGACCAAAGGCGCCTGCTTTGGGCGACCGCTCAACCCGTTCTTATAATTGTTGTAATGTACCTACTATGGGAATCCGACACAGAGCATGGTATTGTATTGCCAGTTTGTAAATTTACCGTCACGTCATCTCTATCAAGCCCCTTCTCACCGCTTCGTAGCTTAGATATAAGAATCTTGAGTCAGACCTGGATCAAGTTTTGCCGTGGGAGGGCATAGGTAATTTGGCAAAATCTAGTACTTGGCTGATTTCTTATATACATTCGCCAGCGCCTCGAGCTGAGGCTGCTTGAAGCTGTACAGTCAAAAATACAACGAAACAACTCAGTAGTATCTTACACGAAAGGAAAACTGCCCTTGCATGACAGCTCACCGCTTATAAATCTGAGGATACACGCAAGAAGACCGCCAGGACGACAAACGTTCTCACCCAAGGCCGAACTTTCTCGATCCCGGCAATATTGACAGATTCAATACCGTACTTGCGGTAACGCAGCGTGGGGCCCCCTTAGCACTTCCGCCAGTTGAGGGCCATAATTTGCTGGAATTTGCCATCGAGAGAGTCGGTGGTCAGCTGGCCCTGCTCCTTCGGGGGGTTCTGGGTTGAAGTAATGCGGACTTGGGAGTTGATGTTGAGCAAGCCCTCTACTCCGCATGGAGACCAAACATTGGTTTCCGTACTAATCTTGTCAGTGAAAACGTAGTCTCTGCTGATTGGGCCCTTAATTATTGACTCGGCGCTGCATTGGCGGTTATCACCCGAGAAGTAGTAGGTGGCCTTTTGAGTGCCGGTCTGAGTTTTCGGAAGATCGGCGAATCCGCGGTAGGTGGCCTCAAAGATAGAGAATTGGTAACCTCCAGGATAGCGAATGCCGACGTTGATCTGGCAGTTCTTGCGGCTCTCTGTGCCCGGAATACCAGGGCCCATGGAGGCAATGAACTGGTCGAAGATCAAAGTAAAATATGTTCTGTCGCCGCTAAACGATTGGGCGATGCTCCCAACCGGGCAGCCTATAGTAATTTTTCTCGTCAGGTTAGCTGCTGCGTCGGAACCTAATTTTTTTTGTTTCCAACAGTATGTGACTTGATTTAGGAAAACGTACCGCTTCCACCATAATTGATATGGGTCACGTATACTAAGCTGGGGTCTGGTCCGACGGCTGGGGCCGTGGGGGCAGCCCTAGAGAGGGCAAAGAAGGAGGCAATAATAGCGGAGGCAGTGAACTTCATTTTGAGATTGTGAAATTTGAAAAATATAACTCGAACCTCGAAGCTCAGAGTGATGGTTTTATGATAAGCAGATTTGGATGTCTTCGTGAGGCTGTCTGCTGAATGGATAGATCAGTCGAGGAAGCGATCTACCGGCCCTTTTATAGACTCTTTGGGACTTTATGCAGCTAAAATTTTGCAATTTGATAGTGCAGGCATCAATGCATCCAAGAAGCGCTTGTGCGTAGCTTGACGATCCACTATCATGAGACTTGGGTTCGGTATCTACCCTAGCGCATACACATGTAGCCAATCGACCCCTCGGTATCTGCAGCTCAATACCCCTGATGCAAGCGGATATCATAACCGGAGCTGGAAGCTGCAGTTCGATCTTCCAAAAGCCAAGAATCCTGAGTTTTCATGATATATGCCCACCCGCCTGTGCGACATGGCTTTCCTTCGATGCGGTACATGGGTTTTTTGCCGCATGCATTGCAGCATGCAGGCAAAGGCGACCGCCTAGATAACACCAAGCATGACCTAGACCCTTCGGACCATGCTGGGCCCGGCGAAGCGATGTCGCGATCGAATACGAAGCTTCCAGATTGGAACGCATATTACTAGGAGGCCAGCAAAGCCTGGGGGGGCTCTTTCGCCTGCGGGTCTCAGTCTCGCTCACTAACTTTTGCCATTGGTCATCGCCAATGAGGCTTTGGAGCTCAAGATTAACCTACTTCGCAAACCGGGGTATATCCTTTAGTGAATCCCAGCGCCCTGCGGATTTGCCTGTCGGACTGCTCCCAGCTGAGGATGCCTTGAAGCAGCACGATGTCCTTTTCTATGGATCGCTGGCCGTGTTAGCCGACGGTTAGCCAAAGAGGCATGTCAGAAACTCTCAAGCCAATTTAGCTTTGAGTGTCTCGAGAATGTTCATTGTTCGAACATGCATGCAGGAGTTTATCGTATGATCAGCTAGCGGGACGGGAGCCCGAGTATGAGGACCTTTTCCAGGTGCAGGGGCGTATGCTGGTACCTACCCCGACGTATGCATGCGGCTCGTCCTTGGCGTTGGGTAAAACCAGCTGACAGCTAGGGGCTCACATAAACAGCTCATGAAAGCAATCAGTACCAATATATCGATGGCCATAGCACTGGCCAGTTAGTTGATTCTCTAGCTTTGCACCCGCGGGCTGGAGGCGCTATGATTAGTTTCTCCTGGTTCATGTCTGCCCGTCTTAGCAGGTGACTGTCAATTAACCTATGCCTAGCTAGGGCCGTGGCAAACAAAGGACAAATATGCACACACTGCCTAGACGTCTTCTATGTATATAA